ATTTTAACCACTCCACTCCAGGTTCCTAAAAACCTGGCACGCTGAGGTGGAAGCTGTGAAAGCTAACTGCTTTACTGAACAGCTTCACTGCCAAGAGGTGATGCTGACGTTGCATTAATTCATGAGAAAACATGCAAGTTTAAAGTTTTACTGAATGTTTTGATGGCTTATGCCACAGTCAAGGCAGACTGCTAGTTATAATCACTAAATAATCTGGGGTAGACTTGGGCATAGTGGTTTGGAAATGTGATACAGATAAAAGGTTGCTGCAACATCTGCTTGTCTTCAGCCAGGAAATACAAAGCAGAGGGTTCCTGTTTGATCTGCACAATGGCTTGGTTTACAGTGACTTTTGTTGGTGGTAAATTACTTCCCTTCACAATCCTTTGCACATGGTAATTGTTTAGTACTGTGCTTGCCAAAGGCATCATATTCTACAAATTCAGCACCTTCTGTGTAATCAACTCCTCTGTTCAATTTTTTGCACCTTCTCTTCCCACATTTCTAGGCAAAATCTTTATGTTTTAACCTAGTTCAAAGAATTTGTCTTCATTAAGAAAAGTGCTATGGGATTTTTTTAAGATTAATGGTATTAATTTCTAGTGTCTGGACAAGTTCCAGTTTCATTTATTACATTCTCCTTACATAGAAGTTCTCCCCAGAGCTCCAGTGGGTACAAACACTTCCTGCCCCCAAGGGACATGTCACGTCACCGGATCTCTCATTTGTCCTTTTTGTTATCCCTCATCAGAGATGGGTTTCACAGGGCCCACTGGGATCTTGGCAAAGTGTGGTGCTGTATAAAAATACCTGCTACTTCTCTCCTTCTGAAAATTCTTGTTAAAACGTGGGAGGTTTTTTGTTTTTTTTTTACTAACCATTCAGGAAGGAAAACCTCTGAGCCATTATTTTCTGCAAGTGCTTTCAAGGTAATGTACAGCCATTGGCCACGCTTCTATATGTTCCCTCAACATCCAGCATAGAGAGCATACATAGAAAAGGTGATCTGTGGTTGGGGTGCAGAAAACACATTTAGTGCAACTGCTATTTTTTTTTTTTTAATTCTTCTTCCTTATATCTCATGCAAGGGGCTGAAAATATGAACGTCAGGAATAATTTGATGAACACCTCACAGTAATGAGACTTCTCAGAAGGACCTCTTCATATCCTAATAACAAGTTAGATGGTCCAAAATATAACTCCCTTCTATTGCTTTTGCTGTCCTTTGGTAAGAAAAGTGTTCTTTGAGGCTGTATCTGGAAATTCTTAGGTGGACAAGAAAGTCCTCAAGCCTGAAATTCTCATGGCAATCCCCAAGAGCTTCTAGCAGCTGAAGTGTGTTATTTGTCTCTGGTTCTCTGATGTGGAATGAGTATGCAAGGTTTGTTCTGGCAGTGGGTTTCCTACTCCTGTATGTTCTTACCAAGTATTTTCTTAGGACTGGCAACAAAAAGAAGAGGAAAATTAATGTAAAGAAATAATCTACAGTGATAGACTAGCATAGCTAAAGCAATTAAAATTATATAGGCAGTGAAACTGGATTGCCTAATTAGATAACTGCAAATGTCTTCACTGTTTCTACTTGTCATTGACTCCAAGCTATGCATTTACTTGGGAATCACAGCTAGCAGAAACTATTTTTTTCATAAATTTTAAAAGCTAAATTGCACTAAAATTTAAGTACTTGGAGATGTTTCTTTGAAAGAAACAGCTGCTTCCAAGCTGTTGTGCCTTCTAAGTTGCCTTTATTCTGGCAGCTGCATTTCCAGACTCAACAATGGCACAATGCCTTGAGCTTCCTGCTCTCTGGACAAGGATGCAAGAGATCTGGATCTGAGGAGACCTTTGCAGCAGCACTCTGGGCCACAAGCAGTTGCTGCCACGACTGGCTCTCCTCTGTGGGTCCATCCAGGGCAGCTCAGGGTTGGACTATTTACGTGCTAGCATAAATAAAACAGTAAAGGAGCATTTGGCCAAGTGTCAATCTGAGTAGTTTGAGGACTCATTCTACCAACTGTTCATATGTAGCTTTGCTTTGCAGCACAGTATTAAGGCTTGGGAATGGAATAAGACTTGGAAATGGACTAAGACTTGGGAATGGACTAGGCCTCTGTTAGACCACAGGAATCACATAAGTTCAGGTTTTAAGGTGAAGTGGTATATCCTAATCATATTTATGCATTTTCAGTTTCTTTTTTAACAAGTCAGTATTTTCCTTCTAGCGGATAAAAATGCGTTTTGTTGGAATATGTTTTTTAAAAAATGTCTTTTAGAAAGGAAAAAGTTTCATGCTTCTAAACATCGGGTTGGGGTTTGGGGGAACTTTTGTTTTTTGGGGGTTTTTTTGAGACTTTACAAGATTAACATTTGGTCATGAAATTTGCCTGAAGAAGCAGCAGCTGAGTTCAGAGCTATGCATCAGAGGTCTGTGGCTGTTGGATGGTTTGTAAGACTGGCCCACAAACCTCCTGTGTTGTTAGTGTATTGGTGGGTCTATGTATCAAGATTACTCTTGTCACAGCTATTCATGCTGGCCAGACTAGGCTTTGTAAACATAATTAATTTAACCTGTGCTTTAGAAATGAAGGTGGTCTGGCTCCTAATTTCCTGTAACTAATACAAAGTAGGAATGCAAAGAAAATAGACTGCAAGAAACAAGCTTTAGTTTTATTCTTTGTCCTATAGCTGCTTTAATGGCTTTGTTTCAATTATAGAATAACTATATATAAGTATGCAATTTCTTTTAGGACTATGGGAAAGCAAAACCTTTCTTGTCTGGTTGATGGTCTAGCAGGCTTCCAGTGGGTTTTGTGTCATTGTGTTTGGGAAGTGCTCTGCTGCAGGAGGCACTGAAAAGGGACACATAAGAGGTGTCATGTCCTGTACCAAAACTGGTAGTGATTTGTTTCCCATGTCTCAGTTCTCGTTAGTGAATTGTAATAAATGATGTACTGCATTGACTTTCCATGCCATATCCATGGCCTTGAAGGCCTGGGAGACTAATAAATTCCTACCTGGATGAGACTTTTTTTTCTGCCAGATGAACTCAGTGAATTGTAGAGAAGATCTTGTGTTCATTTACTCTGAGCACCTGGAAAGTTTTGTAAGTATGACTGTTTCTGAGGAACTGCTATAATTAGTTCATAAAGAAATGGTGACATTCTTCTGGAAGGTGTATGAAAACTTTCCATAATGGAAAATATCTCCCCCAGCATGGTTTTATTAAAGTTCCAGTTAAGCTATTATACACACTTATAAAGAAGTCAGAGAAGACTCTATACAGAAGTTCCAGTAAAAGCCCAACTGCGTTAGAAAGCTGATACTGAGATTTTACAATGAACCAAAAATCCAGGAAAGATGGGAAGATTGCATTAAATCTTATGGGCTTTGTTTTTCAAAGCACTGCTTCTTAAACTGCACAAACCCAGTCTTTTGGTATTTTTCTTTTAGTGTAGAGGACAATGCCTTGCTATTCATCAGTAAGATTCGTAGCAAAATGGGGTCTTGGAGGATTATGTGAAAGGGATTTATATAACAAATTTATTAATCTGAACATGAATCTCACCTATTTTAAGGGACAATATAGTGTAGTCTACCAGTGGCAGAATAACTGGAGTCTGTGTCAGAAATCATTGAAAGAGGCAAGGTCAGCAACGAAGATTAAAGGTCAGGCAAAGCTAGTACAGATCCCCTTTTGTGTAAACTCAGTTTTCCTAATAATTGAAGGAAATGGGCTGGAAGCTGTTCTCTGAAAGAAGCTGAAAGAACTCATAATCACTAATTCTCCTAATCACTAATGCCTCTGGACTATTAGGCACCCTGATATCTCTTAGAAAAGGGGAAAGTAGATTTCCAAGTTTCCAAACCAAATAAGGATATAAGACACTTTAAAGTACAAAATGTGAATTACATGTAGCTGCATTAAGAACCCAAAATGGAGATATAATGAAGGATTGGATAATACTTTGTATTAAATCTAGGAAAGCAGAAACCTACTCCAAGGTGCCGTGTTTGGCTGTGTGAGTGAGGGTTTAGCTGCCATGGGAACCTGCCATACTGCAGAGGGTGGGAGAGAGCAAGAAGGGAAAAGGAAGAAGCATTTATAACTTTAATACCTTGTCTGTATGTATAATTAAAGCCTACAGGTTAGCAGAAGACAGGGTTTACAGCCTCTCTCTGCTCAAGAAACTACACTGGGAATTAGTCACATTTTTCACCTTTACCCAAACTTGCAAACAAATACTGTTTCAGTAGCATTTCCTTGTGACAGGAAAAACACAGAGTTGGAATGAAGTCTGCAAAGTTTTCCTTTCATTGTGGCAAAGGGCTTGACTGACTCTCCCATGCAATTCTGTCCTCTCCTTTAATGGATCTTTTCATTCTGGTTTTGTGTCATGTTGATAGGGACTTTGCCCTGCAGGTTTGGAGGAGCAGGGCATACTGGGCATAGGAGGAACAACCAGGGACTGGACAGGAAATCTTTGTGAATTACCTGTTCACCCTGCAGCCTATTTTTTCCCACACACTCTCCTTTTTTTCTTTTTTTTTTTCTTTTTTTTTTTCTTCTAGTCCATTCCCCCTTGAAGTCTTTTGTTTCCTGGCACTGAGCAATTAAGAAGATCAAGGTTTTGGGCTTTTTCATCTCCACAAAGCTTTGTCACGTGCCCCATCAAACTTACAGCAACTTGCAAAGAAAAATACCCCCTGGGAGCCATTTAGATACTCTTTATGATTTCCATCTAGGGCACCCGGTGTGCCCCGAGTCCTGGAATTCATAGGAGGGGATAGAGGAAGAAAAAAGTGAGGAGGTGGGGGAGGAGGATGGGGGGTAGGCAAACAGCGAATGCTCAGGCAAAACAAGAGACAAAACAAGTTCCCCCACCCTTATGCTTTTTCCTTTCTCTACCTCCAGTATAAGATGTACATCCCCAGACAGGGTAAATTCTAAGAGGTGGTTTTCCCCTGCAATTTTGCCCCCTTCTAAGCTGGGAACAGTGCCCATGCATGCATGTATGTGTATGCATAAGCTATACAAGAAGCTTACCTATGAAAACTAGTAGGCACCACCTCTGGGGATCCCTGCTGCCAGGTAAGATTTGGCTTTTCTTCTTCTCTTTGCTGATTCACCTTTCAGAGAGAATGTCCTTTAGCTGGGTTCATGGGTGAACAGTCTCTGTACCAGCCTTCTGTGTCCACCCATTGTAGCCAGTGCAGCTCCTGTGCCTGCGGGCTGAAACGCAGTAAAGGCATGTCTAAGGAGGCTTACTGCAAATGGGGGAGTTTCCAAAGGGGGGGAAGGACATTTTTCCATTGCCTGGAGTTTGAATGAGTGAAGGGAGACTCTTCAGGAACCACCTAGAGGTGTCTCAGCCCGCTGCATGCATGTTCAGGGATGAGTCCGTCCTTGGACCCGACCATGAGGCACAGCTCCGCATGCCAGCTCCCGGGAGGGTGAGCGCCGCTGCCGCCGGAGCTGTGTCACAGGTGAGTGACTGTGAGTGCTTTCCGTGGGATAGAAAGCACAGCCACCAGAGAGGGCTCCCACACCCCATCCAGCTGGAGCCAGGGATGCAAGGAGGGGTCAGAGCCCCAGCTGTGGGCCCAGGTGACAGCCAGGGATAAGGTGTGAGCATGTCCTTCAGGCAGAGTGTCACCCACCTGAACAGGTGCTGTAGATGTGATGAAGCACAACTGGAGCGCTGCAATGGATGGCTCTAAACTTTTCAGAAGGGGCAGGCAAGGAGGTAGAGGCAATGGGGTAGTCCTGTATGTTACAGTGTGTTTTGATTACTAGATCTTAATGATGGTGGTGATAAGGCTGAGTGTTCATGGGTAAGAGTCAGTGGGAAGGGCAACCAGGTAGATGTCACAGTGGAAGTCTGCTAGAAATACAACACAGCAGAGAGGAAGGGAGTTCTAGGAGGTCCAGACAAACTAGGAGGTTTCTGGAGTGTGTGGAAGATAACTTCCTGACACATCTGATGAGGGAGCCAATGAGGGGAGGTGTTCCATTGAACCTGTTGTTTATGAACAGAGAAGGACTTGTGGATGATGTGGTGGTTGGAGGCAGTCTTGGGCACAGTGATCATGAAATGAGAGAACTTTTGATTCTTGGAGTAATACAGAGGTGGGTCAGCAGAATTGCCACTTTGGGTTTCTGGAGGGCAGAGTTTGGCCTGTTTAGGAGACTGGTCGACAGAGTTCCTTGGGAGGTAGTTGCAAGGGGCAAAAGGGTCAAGGAAGGCTGGATTCTCTTCAAGAAAGAAATCTTAAAGGTGCAGGAGCAGGCCAATGGCATCATGGCCTGTATTGGAAATAGAGTGGCCAGCAGGACTAGGCAAGTGATCACCCCCCTGAACTCTGCACTGGTGAGGCTGTACCTCGAGTCCTGTGTTCAGTTTTGGACCCCTCACTGTGAGAAGGACACTGAGGTGTTGGACTGTGTCCAGAGAAGGGCAGGGAAGTTGGTGAAGGGTCTGGGGTACAAGTCAGATGAGGAGCTGCTGCGGGAGCTGGGGCTATGTACTTTGGAGAAAAGGAGGCTCAGGGGACACCTTATCACCCTCTAAAACTACCTGAAAGGAGGTAGTAACCAGGGGGGAGTGGGTCTCTTCTCCTGAGTAACAAGGTATAGGACAAGAGAAAACAGGTTCAAGTTGCATCAGGGGAGGTTTAGATTGGATATTAGGAAAAATTTCTTTCCTGAAAGAATTGTCAAGTCCTGGAACGGGCTGCCAGTGAAGTGGTTGAGTCACCACCCCAGAGGTATTTAAAAGACATGTGGATGTGGCACTTAGAGACATAGTTTAGTGGTGGACTTGCCAGGTCAACAGTTGGACTTGATGATCTTAGAGGTCTTTTCCAACCCAAATGCTTCTATGATTACATTCTTCTGGCACATCGGCCATGTTTGGAAAGGAAATGCTGATATGGGCTCTGTCCTCATGTTTCATGTCACTGGAGAAATATGGTATCCAAGGGACGGCAAAAACTTAAGGCTGTCACTATACCCAGAACAGTAAGAGACCATCCTTACCAGCCAGGTGTCTTCTTGTTTAAAACCAGAGCTGTCTTTGACCTCTCACTGCAGTTGGCAGTGTATTATGAATACTCCCACCAAAAAGTATTTGAGCGGCATAGGGCAAATTCGTGATTACAGTGTAACACTCCTATGTATTCTGGTTGCAGAAAAGAGGAAGGATCCAAGCCACTAGTGTGGCCAGCTGTAGTACCACTGGGCACAGTTCTGTGCTCTCTGTCTTGTGTTAAGGGCTTCCATCAGAGGCATTGTCAGGGCAACCAAACTGATGCTCTGGGATGTTGTTGCAGGTGGCTCTGGGCCTGAAAACTACCCACCTCCTTGAAGCCGTACCACAAGAGCAACTGGGGATACATTAAAGCCGTAAAACCTGTATGGCTACCAGTCTTTCCTTGCACTCTTCCATTTGGAAGATAATAAATGCCAATGATATTTATGCTGTAATGTTTTTATGCTGCTGGACATAAGTTTTGTTTAACCTCTGCTGTCCATTTGAGATTTGTACCAACTCAGCAGGGCACAAACTTGCATGCAGCTGTCAAACATCAGTGTGTCATATTCCACCCCCACACCTCCATGGCATTTTTTTTTTTGTTCTGACCAATCCTGCATACAAGGTGCAGTGCAGGAGACTGTGCAGGCCCTCTGCACCTCTGCTGAACTTCGTCTAGCTGGATATTGCTCTGCTCAGAGACAAGGACAATTCACATAGCTGTGGTACATATGTTTTCCTTTTCCAGGTTTTGTGCTTTTTTTTATTCTGAAATTGCTGTAGATGGACAGAGCATTTCAAACCTTAACCTAAAGGCTATTTGATGTGTGTATGTAGCAGCACACCTTATGTGATTGTCATGCCCATGCTCAAAAGTTTAAGGAATTTATCCTCACACGAGTGCTATGAGGTACATTTGAGGTAAATGCTCTCATTGGCCATTGGACAAGTTCAGAAGTGAGGTAGAGAGAGACAATGTGTGACTTTTCCCAAGATCACAAGAAAGTCAGAAGCAGAGCAGCAATAGGTGCAATAGGTGTGCAGCAAGCACAAACCATTTTGATTTTGTTATTGTTGTTAAAAAAAAAAATCTATATACTCATTAGTGTTGACAGGGAAATTTATTAGTGTCCCTGTCAGGGCAGTATCAAATGAAAATGTGTCTCTTATGTGTAGTCAGGAACTCTTATTCCATGTGATGAAGAGATTTCAGCAAAAATGTTGGTGCCACAGTCATATATGAACAGAGCCCAGGAAAGTATTTGCATGAGTAAATCCTAGCATCTAGATATACTTATGGTTTTTTACATTTCTGGTAACACAAGTAGCTATTGCACAGACCCTTGGAAAGCCATGAAAACACATGTATCCAGAGTATTTATACATATACATGAAACCATATATATATTTAACTTATGTAAGATCTATGTCTTTAGACAAACATAGAAGAATAAGAACTTCTCTTATTCATACTTTCAGGCAGCAGTTCTGTAAAATATAGTACTTCTTAAAAGTGAACACAGAAGCTGATTTCATAAATATTTTCAGATCTGATTTAGAGATTGAAATTAAGAACAAAGTACTGCTGTATGTAACCAGAGATTTAAGAATTACTGATATCTTTTGTTCTCAAAGTTCAGCATTTAGGTTTTCTTTACTTCTTTGTATTTACCTGCAAAGAAGTAAATTCACATTTTTCCTGAAACAATTGACCACTGAGCCCTAAGACTCTATGTAAAATGGTAAAGGGAACTAAACCTCTTTATTCTTGTGTAACTCATTAGCTAACGTCACACGATTAGAGCTAATGTTTCCATCTAAAACAATTCAAGTCCCTCATTAACGGGGATAGATTTCCTTTGATCTAATTACTTAATGTCCCAGATATATGGGAAATTCAGAGATCAGCTCTGAGAAATCTCTGCAGACATGGTCACATCTAGAAACATGAACTTACATGTAGACTCCCGAAATGTTGTTTAAAACGTTAACAAGCCTTGCTTAGTCTGCTGTTAATGCTTGGTTAAATGTCAAATGAAATCATGTTGATGATAGCTAGAGAGTGAAGATAATGGCTGTTTGCTGAGAATGATTTAATCTCCATTGTTATAGGCAAGTGGATTGCAAATTTCCATAATTAAACATCCAGTGCACTGGTCAGATTCTGTTGTAAAGTTTGATAATTGCTGTTGTAGGGAAAACAGTACAGCGGGGTGTTGCTGTCACATGACAAGCTTTTGAGGCTGAGCTAATAGGATGCCCTTTTAAAATGTTCTCCATATTTTGTGCTTTAGAGACAGAGGATACCATCATGGAGATTTCATCAAAAGAAAATGCTCGCTTTTTCTCAAACAACACCATCCTGCCCGTGGACCGATCTTCGTTCAAATCTGAATCTTCTGCATCCAGGGAAAAACACTCGTGTTGTGGAGGTATAAAGGTAGAGTAAGAGTTTTTGAATATTCCAGTAGGAATGTAGAAAATCTCTTTTTTTTTTTCTTTTTGGTGAAAAATCGCTTTTTCATTTCTGATTATGTCTTGCTGAGTCAGTATGAAACTACTGAAGATATTTTCAAGTCACAAAGAAAGTCTTCAGATCTGTGTTTGCCTAACATTTGGCAATATTCAGGTATAACTTGTTGATTGAGGCTTGCCTGTTAGGAGATCTTCAAGGGTCATCTTGAAAAGTCACTCAATACTCCTTATTGCACCACCTGAAGTAAAGAGCAGAGCTTTGGAAGACAGGTACCACAGGCAACTGTTAGTACAAATTTCTCTTTTAAGATTGTAGCCTCAGTTGTTCTCTGGGCTTTCAAAAATAATATTTGTATTACGGTCCATGTGTTTTCAGTGCGATATTATTAAAGTATTATTGTAATATTCCTTGTTCAAGAGAACTCTGCATGAGATGACTCTGAAATGAAACTGCAGAAGTATCACCACTGTATCTGCATTTATCTCACCCCAGAGCAGTTCTTCCTCGAGGTGATGGAAGCTCCCTGCTCTAAGCCTTGTAACACAGCTGTACCTACCTGACAGCAGGACCGCTGTGCCTCGGAGGAGCATTCCTCCCTGCATGGGACACTGGGGTACAGGAGGCAGCATGGTGCTTTGCCTACTGTCCCTGCCTGCTTTCCAAAGCCAGGCTGTAAAATGCTGAAACTCTCTTGGGTAAGGTCTCAAAAATCACCATACAACGATGAGATGAAATTATTTGAGTTATACAGAAAATGAGTCTTCGGCCTTGCCCTGTTCTTTTCATCTTGCACAGTCTTCATTTCTGTTGTTTTTTTCTCTCTCTCTCTCACACACATCTACTTTCAGATATTAATCCAACTCCCAATACAGCCAATAACATCACTGATAATCGCCCTGAAGTCTATAAAATTGGGATCTTCTGGTTTTGAAATAGAAGATGAGTTGTATTAATTGAATCTTGTAGCATAATAGTAATTCTATCATTGTTCCTCCATTTGCTGCAATGATAATCCAATCCCCTCAATGAATAAACTTTCAGTCACAGCTTAGCCAGTCAGGAATCAGCTAATTAGCTCCAAAAATAGAAAAGCAATAATATTTCAGCTCAGTTTCTTTCCATCCGAAGAATTTGTGTCTTCTGGGAACCCAAACAAACACAACCAACCCATTCCAGTAAGGACTTAGAAAACCTCTCTTTTTTTTTTTTTTTTTGTGAACTAAGTCTTTTTCAGTTCTGATCATGCATTTCTAGTCAGAATGAAATTATTAAATAAATTTCTAAGTTATGAAAAAGTCTGCTTCAGGTCTGTATCAGCCTAATATGTTAGCAAAACAATATGCAGATTCAACAAGTTGTTCTTACCAATTATCAGCCTTCCTGTGTGTTAAAACTGCCTTTATAAACCAGAAAGATGTGGTAAAATATCTTCTTACAGGCACTGACAAACCACAGCAGAATTTGAAATCATGTGCACCTTTCTGTCCCAGCTCTAAATCAGGAGCACATCTGGGACAGTCACAACCCCAGTAAAAAAACTTGTGTCAAAGAGAGACAGAGACATTTCAAGTTCTAATTTACCTATATGACTTTCCTGTAAAAAAAAAAATATGTGCTTTCACATTACTATTTAAAATCCAAGGGCATAAACACGCCGAAAATGTAAAATACTATGGCAATATTTTTACAAGACAGTTCCTTGAGAGCCGTTACTGTAGGAAACAGGAACCAGACAGTGATTGTATATGTTTATTTGCCCACAACTGTTTCTGAAGGAGAAATAACCAGCACTGGATAAAGTGTGCTGAGGGAGACACAGAGATACATTTGAATCTTAACACAAGAATTTGTGTTCAGCAGTGGCACCAGTGTTATTACCACTGTGCCTTGTCAAATCAGTTGTTGTGAGGAGTTGGAGGTGAGTACATCACTTCAGAGCACCTGGTCACTGGAAGCATGATTGCTCAGAGAGGATTAAGGACCAGGCCAAGGCTCTAGACCTCTATTCTTATGAAACATTACTGTGTTTTAATTTCTTGGTTAGGGTTTGGGTTTCTTTTTTTAATGCCTTTTACAAAGAACGTCCATATTTGTATTCAGTCAGCAAAACCCGTATCTGAAGGTAGAAAGCAATGTTGTGATTTCTATGACCAATTGCATGATGTGTGAGTATCCATGGAGCTCATAAACTCAGTAGGGCTGCATTCAGTGAAGGCAAATTAAGGCAATAGCTCTGCAGGAGCAAAACAATTGGTGCTGAGGACCCTGCACTCCCACTATAGGCATTTCAGAGTGGGGAGATACTTCAGACCAGCCCTCATCTTGTCCCAGAGACTGAAGAGCCACTGACTGTTGAAGTGAATGTAATGCCTGTCTGGAACACATCTTTCAGTTTAATTTTGTGTGAAAGGGTTTCAGCCTGCACATTTGCAGTGCGTACCAAAGGGCAGTGAAGGGTGTGGGAGTTTAATTCCCAAAGCTTGCTACTGATTCAGAGCAATGGGTTAAAACTGATACATTGATAACTAAGCGAAAATAACTGTTTCTGAAAAACTAAAGGATGGGAGAAGGTTGTTCCCAGCAAAATGTTTTCTTTTTCAAAAGAAAACATATGTGTTGGAGCTTGCAAGAGATTTGGTGAGCAAAGGATGAGCCTAGAAGGTAGTTGCATGGCAGGTCACTGTTCATCTCATAGAGCCATGTAACAGAAAGCAAAGATTTCTCCCTCCTAGTCACTCTGGGCTTGAATGAGAACAGCTTAGATACTCTCAATTCCACACTATTGCAAAAGCCTGTGTTTAAAAATGCCCAGATAACTCACCTCCCCACCAAGCCACACTTAACATTTGCCTTCATGGTTTCCTGTGTAAGATACCTCCTTAGAACACCACGAGGGACATCTGTGTCTCTGTCTGTTGCAGCAGCACCTTTGACACCTCCCTGAAATTAGCAGTGATTGATAGCGAGCTCAGTTTGTACCAATATTGCTCATAAGAAATGAACAAACCAGCAATATAGGATTTAATAAAAAATTAGGAGAAATATTGACGTGGTTATTTGGGAAAAGGAGAGGTGGGAATGTAAAAATTGCTTAAAAATAATTCACAAAGTAAAGTCTTCTGTACTGCCTATTCTAATCACTGTCAATTTTTTTCACAGATATTTCTCGGTGCATTGTCTTTTGTTTATTTTGCTAAAGCACTGTCAGGAAGTTATCTAAAAAGTACTATCACACAAATAGAAAGAAGATTTGATATCCCTTCCTCTTTGGTTGGCGTTATTGATGGAAGTTTTGAAATTGGTATGTACTGTAGAAACCTATTTTTATTTTCAGTAAAAAAGAATGATGCAATTTGTTGTGAAGAATGATTGTACAAGTCTCCTTGAGCCATTAAAACTGAGCAAGATTACCCTAGTAAAAATCAGTGGCACTGTCAGTATGATTACATTGGATAGCATCAGGTTGTTTGCTAATACAAGAAATTAGGCATAGTCCTAACTATTTTGTGATTTGATAAGTTTAGTGTCTGGCTAATTAATACTAATAGAAATTTTGACTGTTAAATGAGAATTTGCCTGCACAGATTTATACTTTCTCTCTGCTTTTGTCAGTAATCCATCTCCCCTGCAACTGTTTGCCTGTTATAATTTATTAAGCAGCAGGAGTACAAACCTCTAACTGTAATCTACATTTATTTTCCAGTCCATCTCCTCCCCTGTGTACTAAAGTTTCCAGCAAGACATTGTCTCTTACGATTTCAGACTAGTGAATTTATCTCATTGGAGTATGGTACTCACGGGAATGAAATCTTAGCCTAAGTATATAAAACTCTGTTTGATTCCCCCTTTTTCTGCTTTTTTGGTGATTTGCTCTCTTCAGCTGACACAGTCCTTCTCCTCTTTTCCAGCTGTTTATCCAAAAGTTTATGGTTTTCTTATCACAGAAAGCATTGGGTTCCTGCAGAATGCCTGGAAAGAGGGAGAAACGGGAACCCCAGACCATCAGCCCTTTCTCCCTGAGAACACTGCCTATACCACATACTGGGAGTGGTTATTTTAGGGGATCTCTTATCAACAAGCAGTAAAACTCAGTTTTCCTTTTGTATTCTCGAAGGGAACCTCCTAATCATAATTCTTGTAAGCTACTTTGGAGCAAAGCTTCACAGGCCAAGAATAATTGGAGCAGGCTGCTTAATTATGTCAGCTGGAACATTCCTAATTGCGATGCCCCAGTTCTTCATGGGACGGTAAGTGCAAAGTGATCAGCATTCTACAACTGGGCTGTGCACTCTGAATGTCAGCTCACTAAAATGTTCAGGCGTTGATTATGAAGATCTCCGTGGAAATAGGCATATGTGGATGTGGTTACTTAATCAGATATCTTTTATGAACAGACTTATTCCTGTGGAGCAAATAATTTAACATATATACTATCTGAGTTGTAATCAGCTTGTTGTTTTATTAGTCTGTCATCTTGATTGGCCACATTTTGACACAGTTTAGGAATGTTGAAGCATCAGTGAAGAAGTGATGACTAAATTCAGGGTGAAATTTGCATTTAAGTGCCATAGGCCTACCTGGTAGTAACAGATCCAATTGCTTTTTCTTATCAGTTCTTATAAGTAAATACAACTTTGTTTTCTAAACAGATATCGCCACGAAAGATTCCCTTCCGCCATCAACTCGACTGTTAACATCTCTCCATGTCTGCAGGATAAAAGCCAAACTGCACTCACATCCTTGGAAAAATCTCAAGCAAAAATAAATGCAGGTGAGAGAGATCTCTGTTAAGTATTGTGATAAGCACCCTAAAATATACCACAAGTCTCTAAAAGGCTCATGCACTACTTAATTAGAATGCAAAAAAAAAAAAGAAAGAAAAGGAAATTAGATGAATCTTTTCCACAGAAAAGACAGATCTACTGGCTGAGGCAAGTTGATTAAAAATAAATGTATAACTGCACAAGAGTTTTTTTTCAGGCTGCAGCCTTTCCTCCAGCTTTACTCTCTGCTTCAGCAACTTTCTGCAGCTCTATGTTTTGCAGAAACACCAGTCTCCCATAGGGTCCTTGGAAAGTCATGTTTTTCCCTCTGCTGGGAAATCATAGAATCATAGAATCAACTAGGTTGGAAAAGACCTCTGAGATCATCAAGTCCAACCCTTGATCCAACCCCGCCATGGTTACTAGACCATGGCACTGATGCCACATCCAGTCTCATCTTAAAAACCTCTGGGGACGGTGAATCCACCACTTCCCTGGGCAGCCCATTCCAGTGCCTGATTACCCTCTCTGTAAAAAATTTCTTCCTACTATTCAGCTTAAACCTTCCCTGGCACAGCTTAAACCTGTGCCCTCTTGTCCTACTGCTGGTTGTGTGGGAGAAGAGACCAACCCTCACCTGGCTACAACCTCCTTTCAGGGAGTTGAAGAGAGTGATGAGGTCTCCCCTGAGCCTCCTGTTCTCTGGGCTGAACAGCCCCAGCTCCCTCAGCCTCTCCTCATAGGACTTGTGTTCAAATCCCTTCACCAGCTTTGTTGCTCTTCTCTGGACCTGCTCCAGCACCTCAATATCCTTCCTGAACTGAGGGGCCCAGAGCTGGACACAGTAGTGGAAATGTGCCTGCTGGAAAGAGCCACTTGGGTCTCCCAGCCTGCAGGCCCTGCTTCTTGTTTCTCTCCCTGCCCGTTGACCCTGTTTTGCACAGCACAAAGCTGTGTCCTTGTTGGATGCATTGAGTTCCTCGTGGGGAAGGAACTTTCCTCCCCTGTGCCTGGCCACAAATAAGCTCTGGATGAGCAAATCAGCCCCTCTATATGTCCCAAAATGCATGTATGTTTGCATCCCCACACCTGTGGATTAAATGTGGCTGGTAGTGCGCACTATCATCAATGTTTCCCAAATCTTTCCATCAGGAGATCCCAGTTTTGGTTAGAAGAAAGTGAAAAACTTTTCTAAAATGGGATATAGTGACACATTTATAAAATCAGTGAACTCCTAGTATCTTTGAGGCAGTTCATGCTAAAAATATATCCACCTTAAGCTGATTGGGTTAAAATTGCCATCCCTGCATCTCCCAGTTTTCGTTCTGTTTTTCCCACTTTAGAAGTATTTTAGAAAACCTGTGCATTCAGTGTCAAACTGTTATGAAAAGCATATCGTTGTTGTCTCTCTTGTTATGTATTCAGGATGTGAAAAGGAAGCAGGCTCTTCCATGTGGATCTACGTTTTACTTGGAAATCTTTTGCGTGGAATAGGAGAAACCCCTATCCAGCCTCTGGGAATTACATACATTGACGATTATGCCATAGAAGAGAATGCTGCCTTATATATTGGTAAAATAAATATTACTTATTTTCCTAATGGATTTTTCCCCAGAGGAAACTGAGTCATTCTGAATAATGGAATGAATGTTATTGAATTAACTTGTCCTGATTGTTTTGTTTGCATAATTTCCAATATTAAAATTTATTTAAGTCATGTACACTCAATGGACCAAGTTCCCCTTTAATTATACCAGCAGTTCCATTATCTTAATTTGATGAAAGAATTTGACCTTAGGTTCCTGCTGTTCCCCTAATCTTCCTAATTCTTCTGGATGTGGACTGCTGAGCCTCTGTGCACATTCAGTTCTCTGGAAAGTGATAAAAACATGCTCTTTCAAGCACTTAAAATAGAATTTTAGCAGGCACTCAAAACATTGCCTCCAGATTCCAGTAGAATTATAAACAATGGTCCTGAGGCTTTAGAAAGTCGGTATCACTGCTTTCTTTTTTTCATTGCCTGACCTCTGCACATTCACCTGAAATATTACCAAAAAATTCCTTCCCCATCAGCATCTTGTCTTGACAAGTTTCCAGCCTGGTAACTGGCAAAAACTCAGCTTCTCTCTGTAAAAACATTCAGTCTTCCCAGATGAATTTTGAAAATTCACAATATTCAGAAAGTTTGGCCGAGGGTGTAGGGAAACGTTATTATTGGATACCAAAATAATGGCATTTTTCAACCTACTCAGGGTCCCACCTCAGCTTAAAGTGATCAGTTAAATAATTGCCATTTGCTTTCCGGTTACTTTAATGTAGTCAGCTAAAGAGTTTTTAGCACTTACAGATGTCATACTCTGCTTTTAGGTGCGGAAGAACCGGTGCTCTTTTTGACTCAGAAGTGTAACAGTCCCCTGTTTTTTATTCCAGGCTGTGTACAGACAGTGGCAATTATAGGGCCAATATTTGGCTTTCTTCTGGGATCCCTGTGTGCCAAACTTTACGTTGACATAGGCTTCGTAGATGTGGGTAAGTCAGAAAACTTGGTTTTCAAAAATTCAGTCAGGCTCCAAAATTCCTATTTTGGGCCAAGAACTACCTGGTTACGCATTAGGGGCTAACAGGAGTAGAACAGGTACATGGTGTGACTCTTGGGGATAGTCCTGTGCAGGGCTCAATGATCCTCATGGGTCCCTTCCAACTCAGCATATTCTGTGATTATGAAATAAAAAGGATGACAGCAATAGAGTGATCCATGCAGAAAAGGCTGGCAGAAAGGATGGTTGTGGAGGAAGTAGAAGACCTGACTCTTCCTCAGTTCCAGTAGGTCTGCAGCGGGTGCCTCCAAGAGATGCCCTGGGGAGGAGGCGCAGGGGAGACAGCAGGTGCCAGGAGGAGGCAGGACTGAGGCTCAGGATTCATGTGTGTGCATTTTTTGGTATCCTGTTGTTACCTGGAAACATAGTTTGGCAGTGGCCACCAGGTCTCCTGATTGCCTTCTGCCTGAGAAAACGCTTTCCACCCTGTTTTTCCCTGGGGCTTTGGACAAAACAACCTGACTGGGAGCGAGTGGCCACCTGGACTGCCCCATCTCCCGGGCCTTGCAGCATCTCTAGGGATGTGCAAGTGGCACAGCAGTGTCAGGGCCAGGCTGCTGCTGTGTCACAGCAATCAGCAAGTCCTTGTTGCATCCCCACAGCTGCTCTCTTAACACCCTCAGAGACACACAGCTAAACCTGGTGAGGCGGGAACAGACTCCTGCAGAGAAAGTCCCTGAAAAACCACCTTGCTTGTTAGCAGCACTCTCAAAAAGCATTTGTTTGTCTCTTCTTTCTTTTGGCCTTCTCCAGACAGCATCACAATAACTCCCAAGGACGTGCAGTGGGTGGGAGCCTGGTGGCTGGGTTACTTGATAGCCGGTGTGATCAGCGTTCTGGCCGGCATCCCCTTCTGGTTCCTGCCGAAGCACCTCCCGAAACCGGAGAGCAGGAAGGACTCCAGCACCTCTTCCGAGCAGTCCAAGTTCATCATTGAGGATAACAAGGACCAACACAAACCTTATCAGCAACAAACAAAGATTGCTGAGATGGCAAAAGGCAAATCACTGGAGTTTCTTTCCTGTTTGTTGTTTTTCCTTCAAAGGCTTTTGCACTTTAAAATTTTATGCTTTCTGAGGCTCTATTTTAGTGGGCTGAGAATTAGGATTTTTCCCCCAAGTGTCACTCTCCACCTAAATAACAGACATATAATGGGTCTTTTCATTGTTTCCTTGACCTGCTCTTGCATGCAGGATTTCTTCATCTGGGATTTGTAAAATTATGTTAGTGGGCCAGCAAATAACAATGAAACCCTGCAAAAATTTTTCATTCACAGATAGGAACTGTTGCAGAAGCAGTGGTCAAAAAAAGACTTTTGGTTTTTGCTAAACCTTTTTCTGTAAGTTCATTCATTAGCAAAACACGTACAATGTCTGATCAGAATAAGGATGGGCACAGACTCACTACAGTATTGTTAGAGGCTGTCTGGATTTAGGAAGGAGCTGGTTTGTACAATTGCATTTCCTTGACCTTACTTTGCCAAAAGCATTTTCCCTCAGTACTTGAATCTGTAACTCAGTATGTCTGTGCTTACTGTCAGCTGTGCTGAGTACTCTCTGCCCCAAATTAAGCTGAAAGGTACTGCGGGTGTTGAGGACACATAGAAACCAAATCAGTCCTGGTTTATGATAGAAAGAAGGAATAGAAAACAAGATACCTCTTCTCGGATATTGATGCTTAGTGTTTTCCTCCACTGTTCCCCCATCCAGAAACAAGAGAGCTCTTAGGAGCATTGTGGAACTTCATGGATTCCTTCTGAAATGTTCTGCAATGTTTTTTTTGGAAGGTGCAAACATATCATAAAGCATTATTCGCAGCAGTTATTCTCTCTCTGGTCTGCTTGTCATATCTGCTGTTTTGTCTTGCAGACTTCTTTCCATCACTGAAGTGCCTCTTCGGGAATCCAGTTTACATTCTGTATTTGTGTGCAAGTATCATTCAGTTCAATTCTTTAATTGGCATGGTGACATATAAGCCAAAGTATATTGAACAACAGTACGGGCAAACATCTTCAAAAACTAACTTTGTTATAGGTAATGCTATACCTGCTTCTTGATATCTTTAAAATGGACATTTTAGGAGTGGCATGTACATTCATATAGGGAAAATTGTATTTTTTTAGGATATGTTTACTTCTTCTCCTTCCTTGTCTGACTCTAAGTAGTAGCTTATAGCAGGTAAGTTCTTTCATTTCTTCCTTAGCACTAGTTAGCTCTGAGTTTATCTGTGCAAGAGTTATTGTGAAAGGTCACATTATTTGATACATTAATTCTCATTTAACTGGAAATTTGAAAAATAGTATATATGTACAGCGCAAGAAAGTAATTGAGAAGAGAATTTTAAAATACTTTATGTAAATTGGTCATCAAACAGATAAAAATCACGTCAGTGAGTATTAAAGGGCTGACCGTAATGTCGTATTGCCAGTGATTTCTTACTTTCTGAAAAGGTTGGGGTAAAATAAAAGGAAGGCAAGTTATATCCCAAAATCTTCTCTACAGCACAAGAGAGATGCTGCTTCTGCCTTTGTGTACCATGGTGGCCATTTTTGTAGATGAGTTCAGGATCATGAACTCAAATGCCCAGTTGCTGAACCTGCACGCAGGCTTGAGTTCCCTTCCTAAAGTCCAGGGATTCAACAGCATTAAACAGCAAAGAGGTTTACATCTACCCAATACAGAGGGAATTGCCTTGTTTCAGGGCAGCATTAGTTGCACAGCAACAGAGGTATATATATGCAGAAAAGCTGTATTGATCCATTGTGCTATGTTAATTCCTTAAAGATAGAAGCTGGAATTTCCTGGCATGAAGCTCCTCAAAGCAAGGAGAAATCTTGAAGTGTAGTTGATGGCCAGAGAAAGTCCAGAAAACAATCCCTACATTCAGTAGAGCACTTCCAATTGTATTTAAAGATTTTTTTTGGAGCTAAGCTTTCAGGTATGTGCAAACTGAGTGGGGATTAAGAACAGTTTGATTTCACTGAACATAGGGAATACATGCAACAGAAAGCATGCAATGACTTGGCTAGGGAAGGATCCTGACTGAGTGGCTATCCCTGCAATAAGAAAGTTTTTCTTCCTTCTTTTCCTTTCTCTTCAAATCCCTCCTTGCTGAGGGCTGACTAGAATTTACAGTGTTTATTTCACTTTCCCTCTCTCTTTTACTATTTTTTTGACAAATTCTATCACAATCTCTCTGACAGATTTCAAAATTGCCAGAGCAATTTGAAGCATAAAAAAAAGAAAAAAATGAGAGAGAGAGAGAGAAAAAAACAGGTCTTGCTCCAGATTTCATAACACTGTAGGTAAAATTAAATTAGTCCTCTAGGAATGAGCAGATCCCTCCACTGACCAACTAACAGTGGAGAAAACCACCTAGATTGAGAAATTAAGAAATTGGAGGATTGTTAGCTAAACTTTATCCAGCTCTTTATCTCTGTCAGAGATCTAGCAAGGAAGCATGTCCCTGGGAGAAATTTTTAAAAGCAGCTCCAGCACCTTGGTAACAGTCCAATGATCAATTCAAGTCTGGACAAAATAAAATGCCCTGACTGAAGATCTTTTATGTTTTGTTCCTTCATCTTATTGCTGCAGCTGTTTTTTTGGCTGGGAAGGTTAGTTAGTCCATTGAGCTGGGGTTTTCATTAATACAGTTTTTTCTGTTTGATTTCAGGTCTTATCAACATTCCTGCTGTGGCCTTTGGCATATTCTCTGGAGGACTCGTCATGAAAAAATTCAGAATCGGTGTTTTAGGGGCTGCAAAACTTTCCCTGGGATCATCTTTCTTTGGTTACCTTTTGCTCCTCTCACTGTTTGCGATGGGCTGTGAGAACTCGGAAGTGGCCGGACTGACCGTGTCGTACCATGGGTATGCTGGGAAGGGCATCCTACGGCACAAAGTGCCATTGCAAACCAAACCCCTCCCTCATTTTATTCCACAAAGCATATATTTTTGAAAAGAGAGGGATGGACCCAAGTATGCTTCCCAGAAATTTGATTCCAAGTGGTGGAAACCACTCCATCTATTCCAGAGGACACTGTGTCAGAACACTTTCATTATTGTGGCATAAGCCAGAGGCATTCATGTCACAAGTGCAGATTATTTTTCTGATTACTTTGTAATTATTATTTCCATGGGACCCATCCCTTGATCCTAGTGATTTTTGGAAATGTGAGGAGCTCAGTAGTGGGGATTCCATTAATTGTTCCTTGCATTTGTTGTGCTGAACAACAAATGTTGTTTAGTAGTCTTTGAACCCAAAACTTCAGAATTCCTGGATTAACCATGAGTAAGCCATGATGTTAACCATCAGGTACACCTAAGGGTCCCTTTTGGGTCACTTTTGCCCATTCTATTACTCTGCAAAGCTCACTTTTTGGTAGGAGTTTCCAGCACTGACTCCACAGCTGCTCCAGGACCTGCTCCACTAATGTCTTTAGCAGCAGGTGGCTGAAGTTGGCAGATTGCTGTCATGCAAGGTAATGGACCCTCAGTCTGGATGAATCCCAATCTGATAAGCTCCTCACTAACTTCTACAGAGACCATTTTCCACGAGGAACTCAATCCCCTCTTTGCCATTTGTCCAGTTTTGTTAAAACTGCATCAAGCCTCAAATAACTAAAATCTTAGAAAATATAAGCAAATTCATGAGTAGAAATTGTTAGCTGTCACCCTTAATAAAGTAGCTACAATCTCACAGTAGATGGTGTGATATTGCTAAAACATTTGGATAACAGAGAAATAAGAATTTACAGTGCTGCATGAATGTGAAGAGACAACCTTTAATGGACTAAGGAGGGGAGGTCTGGCCAGGAGCACCTGTCAGAGAGCACAGCCCATGATTTGATAATGATTTCTTCCACATCTGCTAGAAAGAAAATTTACAATTTCTCTTTTTCCTCAGAACTAAACAGATGACTGATTACGAGCAAGCCGTGTTTTCGGAGTGCAATTCCGGCTGCTCGTGTTCCAAGAACGACTGGGACCCCATCTGTGGAGAAAATGGAGTTACCTACATTTCTGCCTGTCTCGCCGGCTGCCAGGCATCCAACGGCAGTGGGAAAAACACCGTAAGGCAGTCTTTCATTTCCATGTGTGAATGTGATATTTTTTCCAAATACAACCAGGTCTGTCAGAGTAAGTGGATTAAAATTTACTAAGGCACGTCCTCTTCAACCCTAAACTCCTCGGGGTTTTTCAGCAATCTGCCACCCACATTTCAAACTTTCTCGATTTTTCTTTCCGGCAGAAATCACAAGCAGAGAATGTTTTGGAGGGGGTTTTATTTAGCTGTTGGTACCAAGACTCTTGGAAAAAAAATGTAATAAATACATTCATCCCCAGTAGATACTTTATAATTTTCCCCTTCAATAAATAAATCTTTTCCTTTTGCAAAACATTTCCACTTTGGATTTAAACCTTCAGCTACCCAGAAAAGCATGATGTGCAATTCCTGAACATCTACTTCTCCACCGTTTAGGTTATCATACATTTTCACCCGCTCTCTTCTAGGTATTTTTTAACTGCAGCTGTGTGGGAACCTTTGAATCTTCACAAAGCTCCTCAGCAGTGGTGGGACCGTGTCAAAAAGGAAATGAGTGTCCAAAAATGTTTCTGTATTTTCTAGTAATATCGGTTATCACTTCATACACTTTGTCAGTAGGTGGCACACCCGGATACATCCTGCTTCTAAGGTAAGAAATAACTCCTGCCAGCATTGCCAAATGTTCTCAAGGGGTTTTGACATATGTGACTGGGTCTCCCTCCCCTCCTAGTATTCCTGGTATTGTGAAATGTTTTCAGCTACGCAAGGTGGCTTTTAAAATATTTTTTTTTTTTTACTATGGAAAGGCATCCTCAAAATTTTGCAAGGAGATTTTTACCATCGATACAACAATGTGTTTTTGATAATCTTTACCAGCAATATCTTTCTGATTTCAAACATGACATAAGAGGCCTAGTTATAGTTTATACCAAAATCCCCTTCCCTTAATACCTTTTACATTATCAGAATGATGTTGTATGACCTCCCTGCAAATGGAAATTAGCTCTGTACGTGCCAGTGTGTGCACATATATTTATATGAGCAGCCAGTTTTCCTGAATTCCTATGGATACTGATGCACAACTACATGGAGGTATTCTAACCCAAACCCTCTATATACCCTCAACTCTTCTCCTCTAGCCTATTTTATTATCCCATACGACTGTTCCATTCCAGATTTTTTCTCTTCCAAACAAAGATTGATTTAGAAAGAGATTTTTTTTTCTGTTCTGATAATTGCAGATTTATTAAATGCTTTTCCTAAGGGATTGTTCCAATACATATTTAACTGCTGGGACTATTTGTCCATCACTGAGTGTAAGCTTTGAAACTAATTTTAGAAAGTGCAAAAGGCATGTAATACTACCAGGACTTAATCTGGATTTTTGTCAACTTTTTGCAATTTTTGGATTCCAAGTGCTGCTCCACTCTGTTTTGGAAAGCTTTCTTACTCAGTTCCTTTTTCCAAATTATTTCCAGATGGGCATATTCTACTTCTCAAACAAAACAACAGTAAATCCAGGCTAACTAATCTTTAGTATTATAATTGTGCTTTCTTACCCCAAAAATCTCTTTGTTTTTGAATGAAATTTTCTGGAACAGGCTCTGTCTCACTGTTGGTGCCTTTACATCACACAGACAAAGCCAGTGCTAGAACTGGCTCAATATAGGCTATATGGAAAAAAACTGGATAAAGAATGTGACTTGAGCTATGGTTCCATCGCAGTCCTTGAACCAGAATCAATATTCACACAGAGACTTCCAGAAATGGTTGGGGTGAGGATCCTTCTCCACTGCCCTGGACAAACACTACCAGTGAGGTGTGTGCCTTAGACCACAGCAGCTGCACAGCTTTCCTCACGGACCTTGCAGGGTTACCACTGAGCACTGCAAAAACACACTGCATGTCTCTCTCTCTCCCTGAGGTCTCACTCCAAGAGCAATCATATTATAATCCATTTTGGACAATTTTTACTGAAGCTTATGCATCACTGAACTGTCCATGCGCCAAGATGAGGACGATTCATGAGCTGAGAGCTTGCAGAAAAGCCTTCAGGATTTATGCCAGGTTTCTCTCTGTGGTTGCTTCTGACACACTGAATAAATATGGGCATAGGGCTGTGCAGAGACGCAGTTTCCTTTCCCTTTCCCTCCACATGATGTCTCCTTCCTTTCCATAAGACACAGAGTAGAAGTTGTACAGATATTGTACCACACAGGGCCTCAAAACCGTTGTAGCCACGCTCAACCTCCTGCTTCTCCTCTTGTCTCCACTACGTAAAAATTGTTTGGGAGGAGATATTCATAAGTGAACACCTACAAGCTCAAGTCACAGAGTTGCCAGCACTTCTCAGCCCTAAGAACTTTCTCTTGGGAATCTTATTGCTTAATGGATTTATTTAGAAAAGCTTAGAAAGGTTTTCAATTATAATACTGAAACACTTTATATATGAAATCAGCAAAACAGTTTTATTGGTTCAGCTCCAAATCTTTTATTGGTGTTGAAAATAATTTCGTTTTGAGAGACATTTAACTGAAATTGAGAAGTTATGTGTTTTCCTGCTGGACTGAGGGCATCCACCTCTGATGTGCAGCTAAATAAAACGTGTTTCAGTAAGTTCAATCCTTTTTTTTTCCTTTTGGCTTTGTTTTTTTTTTTTTTTCTGCTCTGCAAATGACCTGTGGGCACAATTCCACTTTAAGCTCATGCTTACTCTTCTTTTTTCTGTAATCCATCACTGACTGACGTTCCCTGAAAATCTGGCTGAATTGAAAGTGTGCTTCTGTTACCAGAAGGAAAATAAATTTTCTTTGAAAACAAATAGTCCCAAGGTCAAGTTGCAGACTTCATTAAGTACTTTTTCCAATGATCTGTTTTTAAAATTATTCAATATTCAGTCAGCTCTGTTAAGACTCCAGCACTTAAGCAATCTGATGTTTTCTGATGAGCAGATGTCATTGCACCTGCCATGGAGCACCAACACAGCTAAATCCCTTTAGCCTTTTGATTTAGTGACATTTTCTTTAAGGGTTTACATGACTGGAGCCATTGAAATATGCTTACAGCCAGTAACCGAGTCATTTGCTGCAATGTCTTTTTAGTGGTATTAACCTAATGGCAATCACCAAGGAACTTGGGAAAGCCCTAAAGTTTTGTAGAAAAACACGTGTAGTTCAGGAAGCTGTTGTTCAAGCACCAACTATTAATAGCAGGTGATCAGGCAGTGAAAAGGAAGTCTCAGATCTCCCTGAGAGCTCTGGCTATCACTCAGGATCACAAAGAACTCCTGTTTCCGGGCAAACACAATACAAATGCTCAAACAATTTTTTTTTTTCATCTGAAAGTGAAGATTTTTTCTACAGGATATAAATCCTATGGAATACATAATAAATATCCAGTTATTGGTTTTATTTTCCAATTTTCCTTTCTATGCCCTCAGATTTGTTTAGAAGGACTCCAGACTGAGGCTTACTTGTCTAAGGTGTGTCTGATAGGAGAGCAAGTCACTGTTCTTACAGCTTAAAATCATATTAAGTCATTAAAGTCATGCCTACACAGATGGCAGTGCTTGTATAAGCCACAATGCAACAGACTGTGTGATGATAATTCACGACAAGGGCATTAGAGAATAAAGTGTTGACCTTATAAAATGAGCTGCACATGACTTTTTTTTTTTTTTTTACTTTGGTGTTCTTTTCACAGAGTCACTGAATGACTGGGGCTGGTAAGGATCTCTGGAGATCATCTAGTCCAACCCTCCTGCCAAGGCAGAGTCACATATAGCAGGTTGCACGGGCTGGTGTCCAGGCAGATTTTGAATCTCCCCAGAGGACACTCCACAGTCTGTCTGGGCAGCCTGTTCCAGTGCTCTGTCACCCTCACAGTAGTTTTTCCTCATACTCAGATGGAACTCCCTGTGTTTCAGTTTGTACCCCTTGTCCTTTGTCCTGTCACTGGGCACCACTGAAAAGATTCTGACCACATCCTCTTGAAACCTGCCCTTCAGATGTGTGTATGCATCACATCTCCTCTCAGTCACCTCTTCTCCAGGCTACCTTCTTCCTTAAATGTCCTTCACATCCTTTCTATTTTCAGTAAATTAGAGGAAGATGATCCAAATATAATTTGCAGTATGGGTTCTTAATGCTGTTCTGGCAGCTACACTGGGAAGTTTAAAAAAATCACTGATGGGGAACAAAAGAGCTAGTTCTGTGATGTCTTTATTATTTTTTTTAAATTTACTCCAAATTACATTAATTTCTGCAGAAGCAGAGCCCATCCTAGTTCAGAGCACACAGACTGGACCTCCAGGGTGCTACGTTCATCCGTAGTGACAACTGAATTTCCGCCCAATTTTTTTTCTGTTTTCTAATGAAGATAATGAATGTGACAACAGAGAATGTTATCAGTTACTATATTGACATACATATGTTACCCCACACATCAAACGCTTCCCCGTTTAATTATGTGACTGGGACTACTTGTTAAAAGCCAGATTCATGCTGGATGTAATTGGCAGTCTGGTACCTGCTGGGGGAAGGAGCACACTTGGCAGCTGGTGAGGGAGCAGCAGGTGAGTCCTACGAATTCGAGTGGGTCCATACACACACTGCTCGTAGCATGGTTGTAAAAGGCAGCTGTTCTCCTGCCTTCCACAATGGGCTAGGGCGATAATTGAAGGCTGGAGCAGGGCTGATCTGGAGCCAGAAGGACTGATGTGTGTGTTAGACTCCCCTGAAAGCTCAGCAAAGTCAGAGAACAGCTTGGAGGATTTACATTTGCAGGAGATGTGATCCTGATCCTAGATACAGTGCAATGAAAAATGAGTGCCTAAATACCTTGTACTAGCCTGGATCATGATCCTGAAATTCAGAGAGTATCTAGCTAAATAAGGCATCCAATGGATCCATGATTTCACAATCAATTTTCTTGTCCTGTGTGGGTAAGTCCTAAGTGCTGATATCATCTGAAAAGCCACAACCATCTTAAAATGTGATATTGAATATAGATGCTCAGAATTCCTAGATTCTGTTCTGATTTTGTCACATTTTTTAGATATTTCTCAATTTGGTTAGTCAGTGGCATTATGGAGGAAAAAGTCACATTTCTTTCATTTCTCTTGCTTTCTATTTGTGTTCAAATTATTCACGCTTGCTTCTTTATTTGCATGTAACATCTTTTTTATTATTATTTTTTTTAGATGCATTAAACCCCACTTGAAATCATTTGCACTTGGTATCTATACCCTGGCAATAAGAGTACTTGGTAAGTCCATTTGAACTCTTGAGTCTGTTTTAATACCCTCCTCATTAATCATTTATCTTAGAATTAAACTCTGATTGTTGGAAAGAACAATGTCTCACTGAAAAGTAAGTATCATATGAATTAAATAAAAGTAAAAAAGGGTTGAAAAAACGAAATAGCTTCCTAAATTGTATAACTGTCTCTTAGGTGTAATTAAAATATACATGGCCAATATCCATAGAGATGACAAGTGTTCCTTCAGACTATGAAACTGATATAAAAATTACATCTTATCTCTCCTTACTCAGCAATGAGCATAATAAAACCGCTATGGCTGTTAATGTGTGATTGTTTTTCAGGCATATTTTCATTAGTTTCTAAGGGAATTACTCTGAGTGCAGGTGTGCCTGGGGGCAGGTTTCACTGCAGCCTTGTGGTAGAGTCACCTCTAAGTTGTCACTGAAATCAAAGGTACCATGAGATGCCAATGCACTGGAGATACTAAAATCCTCTTGCCTTCACAGAAAAAAAATAATAGCAAGTCACCTACTTAAATAGAGCAGATCAACACTGTTGGCTGCTTTCTCATGCCTTTGCAGGCCAAGATTTTTCCCTCCTGGCTTACTTTCTTCTCCAGCAACCATGGGTGGCTCCCCAGGTGGCGCAGAGTGCAGGATATCCCATTAGCACATGAAGAAAGGCCTTTCCTTTCCATCACCCACAAACACTTTGTGGCAGGTTTGTCCCTGCCACAGCAGTGTCTCAGGATACTTGTAGGATACTTGTAACCCCACTACAGGCTCCCAGCCTCGGTGTCTCTCTCCCTTCTCACCCCCTCCAACCAACACACAGGACAACCCCTACACCCAAGCTCCATTGCTCTTAAGAAAGGAGAAGTATCTCCTTTTTTTATTTTCTCCAGAGATGTCCCGCAGGGTGAGGAAACCAAACCATGGCCAGCCCTCCTTCCGCTGGCTTCCACAGGCTTTTTGATGTTCTGTTACGCTTCCCTGGCTTCCCACAGGGAGGAAAGGGCGGTGTGTGCCTGGGCAGCACGAGGCACGTCTCCTCAAACCAGCAAACAGCGTGGAAGTGTCACTGCTGTTCTAATGTGTGATTTAATGTTCTACCCGAACATGTCTCTAGATCAGAACTGATCACCCCGGAAAGTAACTTTCTTGCCTCTATTTATTTGTTAAATACACCCAGCGGGAATTCCAGCCCCAGTGTATTTTGGAGTAGCCATAGATACCACTTGCCTGAAATGGGGCAGCAAAAGATGTGGGGGAAGAGGAGCGTGCAGACTCTATGACTCCAGCGCACTCAGGTAACAGCTCTTCTCCATTCGTTCTTTAACTTGTGCCCTTTAAGCACATCTGTGCCTGGCACTGGTAGAAGAATTTCTGTTAGAAAATTTGAGTGAAAGATTTGAAACTGAATGAAAGACTCTGACTAACAATATTAACAATAACATTCAGGTTTCAGCATTCTCTTTTGATTTAATCTTTTTTTGAGGGGAGGGGGGATCATCTTGTTTCAGTATCAGCTGGAAATATTTGTCACTTAATTGTTCACCTAAAAATACTGAGGTTCTATTGAAACCTTGATTTTATGCTAAAGCGTCCCCCATTTTTCAATGACTCTGCTGTGGTAATGTGTAAATAAGTAGAAGGGTTATTAAAGCTCATTGTTTGTCCATGTTGGAGCTGAACCACAAAACGGAAGGGAAAGGTACTACAAAGCATATTTGTCTTATCTAGGGCCATAAGTGCAGTGTTGTCTTTATCAATTTATTGCTAGAGGACAATAATTATCTGAACTGCATTCATGAAAGGTGTCACTAGAAAGGAAGAATGGAATAACAAGGGTAAGAGAAAAATGGGAGAACACATTGTGCTTTCCTCCCACCCCCAGGAAAAAATGTTTTGAAAACGTGAAGGAAAGAACAAAAGCTCAGTTGGGACTCTTTTTGCTGATAAAACATAATGATGTTATTGTTGCTGCTGTTGTTGTTGCTGTCATTATGCCTGTAAAGAAAAAATGCCATCAAATGGTTTTGATATCACTGGTACTTTTTATGAGGCAAGCACAAAATAGAGGAATTGCCCTAAAAATTTTAGTGCTATTCTTACTGGGGTTGAGGAGGTCAGACAATGCCTGAGATGCTTTCTTGGCCACAGACCACACCCACCTGACCTGGATGAGCTGACAAACTCCCCCTCCAGGGTCATTCCCCTTGATGGAAGAGTGTTCTTACTCAGCCTTACCACATGAGAATGTGAATGTGTTCTTGATGCCTTCTAGTCAAATGTTGCCTTCGAAATAGGCTCTGATCAATCATTTCTCTCTCAGGTATGTGTACCTGGGGCTGACTTTGGTGTTGGGCACGGTGTCCATTTTCTTCAGTGTTGCTGTCCTTTGGGTTCTCCGGAAAAGGTCTTCTCCACCAGATGAGAACCTCTCAGCCAATGGGGAGAGAGGCACCTGTGGGACAAAGAGCAGAAAAGATAATTTTGTCAATAGTGACTGTTTAATTCAGTCAACTTACTGGCCAGAAAAGGAGACTAGACTTTAGGAAGACTGAGATCTCCACCGTGATTTTACCCCCAGTGAGTGGTGTTCCAGGCAAAAAATTCATCATCAGTGAAGCGGTATCTTAGTATCCACCCTGAAAATGTTCAACTTCGTGTAATTTTCACTGTAAATGCCAAAAGAAAAGACAACCATTTTTAGTACATGTACAGCTCTGAATACACTGCTCACCAGTTTTTCTGCCGAGTGAGGGGAGTACTTATGGCTGGGGAGGGGCAGCTTCCTCCCTCACCAAGAAACCGCTTTTACGGCTGCTCCTCATCTCTCTCCCTCCTCATCAAGCTGCAACAGCTGCTGCTGCCCTTCTGTGTGTGAGGGGTAGTGGAGAGGCTGCCATGCAGCTCTCTCTGCCGTGGAGCCAGCCCAAGAGGAGCTGGTGCACAAAAACCTGACTTGGCAGCCTGGAAGGTGGAGGGATCTTCGTCACGTAGCCCGCCCTTGCAAACAGTGCGGCACGGGGCAGGAGGAAAGGGGTTTGCTGGAAGGTGAAATCAGCTACAGGCTCTGGGCATCTCATGAATTCAACCCATAACACTTAGGACATCAAATGTTGTGGTTAGGGATCCTTTTTCAAGTAACTCTAATACAACAATAACAGCAATAAAAGCTGTCGTTGCAGGCAAAGAGACCACAAGAGTATTGACCAAAGGAAACTGGAATAAAATAGAGCTTTTTTTAGGTTTCCAGCAGTTTCTTGCTACTTGCTAGTACTCGGTGTACTAAATAATTCCATGCACTTTATTCAATGTAATAACACCATGATAAAAGATACGTATGATTTATTTTTCAAAAATCTATAAGAGGAGAACTTGGGAAAAATAAAATTAATTAAAAGACCAAGTGACTTGGGGTTTTTCCTTTTAATTTGTTGTATTTTCTAGGTGAAACTGAGATATGTATTATAGTATCCCTTTATATATAATCTTTGCAGTCTGTCAATATTTGATTTTAAATATATTTGGGTTCTGGAGAGCTGTTGAATGCCAAACAAAATCTCAAGAAAGCATGCACTGAAAAAGATAGTTGTGGCACTACTGTGATATCCTTTCAGGATTTTAGAGAACAGGCTTCACCCTTCACCATGATATTGGCAAAACAAGTCCATATCACATCACTTGTGTCTCAGCAGTGACTGTGGGTCCCTGCTGCTGAGCAGGGTGTGCAGATCAGAGGCAGATGTGGAGCCTCTCCTGTGGGATGCATGGGGAGGGACATGTATAAGAATGGGATTCACTGGCCTTTATAGATGCTAGTTTTTTACACTGTGCCCTTAAGAACTACCTGATCTGTTCAATAGGAATACCAAGAAGAATGGTGCTTAAGCACCAAATATCTGCAGAAGGTAAGCCTTTAAACCCATCCCTTAAGAAAATGCAGTTGTCAGAGGAAGGACCAACGTGACCCATTATTTGCCACACAGGTGACTGTTTAGACAGTGGCCTGATATATGGGAGACCTGGTCTCCCGTCCCAGCAATTCATCCCCCCAGGGGAGTGACAGAGGCTACAGGCAATGGGGTGCTGGAGAGCTGTGGCTGTTCACTTTGCCTTGTATAACTGGATATTGAACTAAACAAACATAATTAAAATAATTTTAAGGTTTATGAGTATCAGACTAAATGGAGAATTGTGGCTAGGGTGAATCACAGAAAATGGCATTCCAGTCTCAGGTCTCATTCATACTACATCATCATAAAAACAGAAAAAATATCAAACTACATCAGCATCCAGGAGCAAGAGTGATGCTTGGAGCTTTCCATTACCTCCTTGGGAGGGCACTGCTCATAGCAATGAGCTGCCAGATCCTGTGAGAGAAAGGAGGAACCCAACTTAAGTACAAACCAGGATAAAAAAGGAGGGATATCTGCATTTCACTCAGTTCTTGATGTTGTATATGTGTCAGATAAATGGGGATGATTCCTGATTTGTGAATCGGTCCTGGCAGGTTTTCAGGCAGGGACACTGCTGCTCAGTGATGCTGAAGCTTTCATAGAGGCAGTTCTGCATGTGCCAGGAAAATCCACTGGTTTCACCTGGGATAGATAAAATTCTCTTCTTAGTAGCTGGTACAGTGCTGTGTTTTGGATTTAGTATGAGAATGATGTTGATAACACGGTAATGTTTTAGTCGTTGCTAAGTTGTACTTACCATAAGTCAAGGACTTTCCAGTTTCCCATGCTCTGCCAGTGAGAAGCTGCACAAGAATCTGGGAGGAAGCATGGCCAGGACAGCTGACCTAGACTAGCCAAAGGGATATTCCCCAACCTAGAATGTCATTTCCAGTATATAAACTTGGGGGGAACTGGCCAGGAGGAGCTGACCACTGCTAGGGACTGGACTGGGCTTCGGTCAGCAACGATATTGTGCATTAGTTCTCTTTCTTGGGTTTTATTTCTCTCTCTCTCTTTTGTTCATCTTCCTTTTCATTGCAATTATTATTATTCTATTATGATTATATTTTATTTCAATTATTAAACTGTTCTTAATCCATGAGTTTTCCTTTTTTTTTCCATTCTTGTCTCCATGCTACTGTAGGGGACAGGGTGAATGAGTAGCTGTGTGGTACTTAGTTGTTGGCTGGGGCTAAACCACAACAGACAAATAAAGAATTCTAAAGAAATAAACATATCCTACCCTACTCCAGGAAAAAAAAAAAACAGGGAAAAAAATCAACTTTTTGGGTTATCACCCATGCTTATATATGCCTGGACTTAGTAAATAATTCTTTTAAAGCACGGGCTTTCCTTCTATATCCCATTTTTTTACACATAGTAATACTATACAAGAATTTGTTTCAGTAAGTCTTATTTTCATTATGGTTTGAAAATGACCACTTTTTTCCTGCCACTATTCAGCAATAACAGATATATGTCATTCCCATTGCAGAATATTTTCCACTCTGCTACTTTATTTTAGTACCTCAAGTAGTAAAGTGGATGCATGGAGGAGTGTCTGACTAGAGATACATATTCTGGATTTGTTATAATACATGAAGGAATAGTCTCAACATTAAAGGATTTGGATCTGTCAGGATCTTCCTACCAGAATTTTTCATCATAAACTACATCTGCAACAGGTGCTGTCTCAAAAAAGATCAACAAATTTGGATCTTTTCTTTCTAGAGTCAGAGATATAAAACCACAATTGTAAGACTAAAGAAGCAAACACCTTTCATTTTCAAAGGTGAAATTGTTAAAAGAACTGGCTGAGGTGATTACCCAATCTTTGATGTTGGCCTTTGAGGCCAGAGTGGGACTCACAACCTTGTTGAGAAGTACCCCTGGGCTGTATACCATGTAAAAAATGGTATATTATAGCAAGGAACCTGATGGGCTCGTGGAACAGGAGAAGGCAAGGGTATCAGGCCATGTCACATGATGGGATGTGCAACCAGGCCTGGGGCTCATGAGCCAATGCACATTTCCTCCTCTACCTCCTGGCAAAAAATGCAACTCTCCAATGACATGGTATATCTTACTTATAGGCACATCATTTCTAATCATATCAGGAGGGAATCATCAAGAACTTCTAAGAAATAAAGGAGGCAAAAGGATGATTTGTCTATAGCTTGTGCCTTCCCAGTGTATGAGGGGAAAGAAGCATCAGTATAGGATGAAGTATCTTCAGGTCACAGAGAGTGGAGCAGCGACCCCATCCTTGTGCCACTATGACATTGCTACATATGATCCTCTAATCTGAGGGAATTAGCAAAAAAACAGGGAGCAAAGGGTGTGAATGTATGAAAAAGAATGCACAGGCTGAATAATGATAGATTGCCTCTTTGAAGTGCTCAAAATAACGAGTAAGACTGATGAAGATATGAGAAAACTATTGTAATTTTTTAAATAACAGCAATTGGTATAATCTGAGAGAAAATATTGACAGTATTGCTTTGGCTTGTTTGACCGTTGAAGCAGCTTAATTCTGCATAACATTGAAAGAAGAAAAAGTTACTAGAACTTACTTACAAAAGTTGTGAAGGGTACAGTACGTAGACTTGCAAGTAGCTAAGTCACAGGGTTTTTTAAAAATATTTGCAAATAGATAAACATTAATAATAATTATTAGTAATGTAGCCCTAAGGCTGTTGCATAGGTCTGACCCGGCCTGGTTGTCTCTTTTTGACCCTGGAGCATCACTAAGCAAGTGCTAAGGTATTTCTTCATCCAGTGCTAATCAATCTCTAGAAGAAAGAAAGTTCATAGTTGTTGTAAAAATTATGAAAGCAATTTAAATGTGGGGCTCTTTAATGGTAATTTAAAGTGCTCATTTAAAAGGACCTTACTTAAGCAACATGTGGTTAGTTAACCAACAGCTCATCCCAAATTAATACAGTTCATTGAATTTTGAAGAGAGTAAATAAGGAAAGGATTTAGTGGAGAGCAAGTGGAGCACATTCTCACAGCTGGATAGTGACCAGGTCAGGAAGCTCTCGGGGCTGTCGGACATGGTAATTTTGAAAGGTTGTTGTTGTACACAGTGGTATGAGAACCCTCTTGTTGATCCTTCTAAAACAAGGTGCTGAAAAATGGGGACTGGTCTAGAAAAAAAACCTGTGATAGTGTTATGTAGTCAGCTTATTTAACTCTGTACACAAAGGTAGACTATATTCCAGTGCCGGGAAATCCAACAGGATAAAACTCTGTTAGAAATATAATACATTTTTTTTCATTAGAACAACAGGTCTTCAATATGTTTCTGACATCTCATAGATTTTCTTGTCATGTGTAGTCTTAAAATCAAGACTTGACCATTCTTATAAAAGATCTGCTCTGGTTTAACAAGGCAGATGAACAGCTCAGTGGAGTGGTGTTGTATATGATGCCAGGTATTTAATTATGTGAATCATAACAATTTTTTCAGTTCTGTTATCTCAGGTAATATTCCAGACCATGTGAAGGTGATGGGGGCTTTGCCCTGGGATTTCACCTGAGGGGTGAATGTTTTTTGCTTCTGTTATGCTATGATCCTGCACACATTTGGATTAGCCCTACAGAAGTCTAAAGTACTCACACTGACAATGACTTACGCTTCAATTCTGCATCTATAATAACAACTCCAATCCCAACTGCTGATTAAGACTGAATGCAAAGAGAAACTGTGCAATCAGCATTAATACCTACCCTTTGTATTTTAAGTAGAAAAATAAGAAATATCATTAAAACAGCTCATCCTGGTCTACTTTTCCCCAGATAGGTGCATGATGCAAATTAATGACAAAATTATTGAGTTCTTATGAAAGACAAAAGCTCCACTTAGCAGTGGAAGGATCAAGTCCCAGACAGTAGCTACAATGGAGACAACAAATCAGCCTCTCAGCATGCTTTTCTTTCCTGTTAGTTCTGCAGCATCAAACTGAAACCAGACACACTGAGACAGGAGCACCAAGAAGCCTTTTCCAAGTATTGTAAAGGTTTTTCACCTTCTCAGGGTTCCTATAGTATCTTAACATTTACTTAGCCACACACCATCCCTTTTACAGAGTTTGTTAACGAAGAGTTAAATTTCAAAACACATTGATTTTCTGTGTTTAGAGATTAGTGTCCTGAGAATAAGAAGGGCTCTAATCAAAGCTGCCCACTGCAGTTGGCCTCTGCCTGGCCGGCTGCTCCCTGCTACTCCTGGCTCACCCCTGCAAACTGGGGCCTTGGCAGCCACTTCTGCTGGTGGGAGTCTGCTGCCACCCTCTGCCTGGAGGAGTCTGCAACCAGATCCTGTGGTAAAGGTGATTTACTGAGGCTTTTGTAAGGATTGTCTTTAATCTCAGGAGTAATCAGAAATTAGTGAT